CCAGCTCAATTTTGCTTATACGTCGTTGATCGAATTTTTTTCCCACAATTTATTATTAAGCATTAAATAAGTGATTTTTTTCTAGCTGTATGCTCTCGGTCGGATTTTTATGAGTACACTACGCATTTATCACGAATGACTCACGTGTCGTCGCTCAACGTAAATATTATTGCGCCTCGATATTCCGGTTAGATTAAAATCGCTCGTATTTTTCGCTCCAAAATATCTTGTTTTTTCATCATCGAATCTCGTACGTATAATATAGCCTCGCTATAACGTGTGCGGAGAAAGTCGCGTCGCGCTAATCAGACAAAAAAAATTAGATAATACCCGTCGTGATTTTAAGCGATTATTAATTCTCAATTTTATGCCTCGTGGGATTATTTTTTTTTGTTCTCTCTCTCTCTCTCTTCCGCTGTCTAATCCATTCGAATACAAATTAGCCGAGCAAGAAATGTTTGGAAGACTCGCGCATACATTACTCGGTCCTCCTCCTCTAGTCGAGCTATATCGTATAAGACCATTAAACTTTGCAGTGTGGCTCTTCGTTTCTTCTCTCTCTCCTTCTCTCCCTTGTCCCTCCGCCTACTACGCGCGTGTACGTACGTAAGTTTTAGGAGCTTGACTTGACAGTCTCTCTCTCTTCTGCAGACTGATTATACTCGTACTTTTACGCCGTAAGGGAGAAAGGGAACTTTTCGTGACTTTGTAAAAATATTGATATTCCGCTGAGTACCACATATATAACGTATAAGAACGGGGAGAGATAAAAAAGACAAGTTTTTTTTTTATTTTTTTTACGAACAATATGGCGATGATTTTTACCTTCCCAGCTGAAGCTCGCGCGCCAACTTTTTTATAACATTCGCGGTTTTTTCGCAGCGAGCAAGAATCGTATCTAGTTTTTTACATCGTTCGCAAGTTTTTATCGATGGGCATCAAAGATTTTATTCTCTCTCGTTACTTTTCGCGCACGGCATATTCCGATTGCACTCTCTCTCTCCCCCTCTCTCTCTCTCTCTCTCTCTCTCTCTTGCGTACGTACGATCATCCGGTGCAATTCTCAATTCAAAATTTTTCCACTCGCGTAAATAATCGAAGGCAGGATTATCAATTTTACCCCTATTACAACTTGTAAGAAGCATCTCTCCCCGTGGCTTGATAATGCGGGCCATTAGACGACGACGACGACGACGACGACGAAGCCGCCGCGCTTACAACTATTACACTAAACGCTTACACGCAAGAGGACATTATGCGGAAGTTCCTATACTGCTTAGCTGCAGCGCGAAGTTAGAAAGGCGGCCAACGACGTAGGTGGTGGCGGCTATTATTATATACGCATTACACGACTATGTCGCACAGTATATAGGTAGCGGCAATATTTGTCATAAGCGTGATTAATTGCGTTTTCTGCGCGCAGCCGTATTTATATTTATAAAGTACATCAGACCGATAAACTGCGGTTCTGTTCTGCTGCTGCATACACAGCAAAACCGAAGCTGCTCTACTGCTGCTGCACCTCCTCCCTTGCCATGCATGATTAACGTATGGCTTTAATTTCATTGGCTGTCAAGGTTGCATATAATTAATTCGGTGCGCTCTCGCAGGAGAGATGGGCGCATATTTTCGCTCGTTTATTACTATTTTTAGCCCCGCGCCCTCCGCCTCCTCTTCGGTTTATTATTACGTACATGTATATTCGCCGGCGCGCGCATAAATTGTAATAGTATAGCTCGCATAATAAATACGCCCGAAATACGTTTAACTCTCGGGGCGGCCCAAAGTACGGCGCCGCAACCGAGTTTAATATACTTTTCCGTACTCACGGTGCATTATTATATTTTGAATTTACCATCGGTAGCGCGCTGTAGCTCTGTTGCAAGGGTGGTAAGAGCCGAAAGGGAGGAGGGGTTAATCTTCTTCGCCGGCGAGGTAAAACGAATTTCCCATATTTTTTTCTCTTCTTTTTTTATTTACACCATGTCCGCGCGCGTCCTATAAGGCAGAGCGTCGCACAAGGTATACGAATCTTTCGGAGCCGGAGCTACGACGCGCGGCTGCGCTGGCCTCGAGGAATTTCGTTTCAACGGTATTGTCATATCGGCTACGCGCGCGTCTTTTTTATGTTGTACGCGCTATATATGTACAACGACGTGCCAGGCGCGCACACAGACGTGACGGTTCAAATTCATTTTTGAAGCTCTCTCCCTTTGGCTTCGAGGCTGTTGCTGCTGCTGCACGACGCAAGGAAAAAAGCTCCGTTTTCTCATGAATGAGAAAACAAGTCCTTTTTGTCGCATCCTTTGTTGTATATGAAATGAATATCGAGTTTCCCCGTGGCGCAGTATACGGAGCTCTTCGCGCTGTATCACGCATAGAGAGACGGAAAAAGAAAATACTTCTTTTCGTAATATTACGACGTGTGTCGGATAGAAAAAGATCCGCACGAGTATCAAATGATACACATTTTCAGTTGGGATTTAGCAAAACGAATACTTGAATGCGATTAGGTGGATCCAGGTATACATCGTAATACATACTATACATATGCGAAAATTCTTATTTATACCAATTCCAAAGTTTTCTTGCCACCTATTAGCGATTCATCAATCAGAACGATATCATGAGTTTTACAATAAATTTTTTTCAATGGAGTAACTTTACAAAATTGACGCGACAATATTTTCAAGATTGCCGTTATCAGGCGTCTAAAAATCTAATCACTGACTTTGGAACTTTTGAACGTCGGAAATAAAGATAGTCCGACGAGAACGTGCGTGTAGCTGATCATATTTTGAATTTATCAATTGCTATCTGAGGAACACGATAGAATCGATTTTTCGAGAACTGAGAGCGAGTTCAATGACATGAAAATTGGACTGTAAATATTATGAATTAAGTCGATTCTTTTATTGTGTGGTGAATTTCAAAGGTTCACTTCATTTAACTAATGTATCGAGCAACGGTCTAATTATTCTTGCTCGGCCTCAATCTTTATTAGTTCTCTTGCCCTGTGATCGCGTACAAATATCCCACGGCGCGCGTACCATACCGAGATGGCAAAGGTGGCGGTGCTCGAGCGGCGATCCACCCGCGTACACGGGTCAAAAAAAGAGAGAGAGAGAAGAGAAATATCGATGCGCGGGCCTAATTGCCATTGATGGAGAAAAAATCAGCTCGTTAAACGTAATGGCTCGGGCACTCGGAGTGGCCCCGAACTCGGAGCAGCGCCGAACACGAGCTCGGTTACGCTTCGCGCCTTTGTAGGCCACGCTCCGCTGCGCCGACGTATAAACATGCGTTTACAGATACATAATTCGTATGGGGAAACACACGGACTGCTGCAAAGCTTGGAGCTGTACTACAGCGTGCACAATGTTATACGTACAGCAATGAGCACGAGCGAGTTTACGACGTTCGGAGATAAAGCACACAATGCGTACAGTGCACTGTGCGCAGCCCCGAGAGCGGAATATACACGCGCGGAGGCATATATACGGATGGTGAATTTTGAAAACAAAATGCAATCGTCCTATTGGTATTTTTGCGCCCTGGCTTACAATGCAGAGCAAATAAAGAAGAAAATGTATTTATGCCGCGAGCTCTGTTGCACGCGCCCGCGAAGCTTTCGTCATATATGCTTGATTACTCGCATTTTTGCTCGATGAAACGGAAAAAATAATAACGGAAAAAGGTTTCACTCTGCGCAGAGTGCCACTTTATACTCGGTCGAGTAATTAATGGTCGTGTTTGATGTATAAAATAATAAGTCAAAATAAATGAGTAATCTTAAATAAACATGTCGTATCTAAGGTAGGAAATGATAGATTCGACAAATATATATGATCGTTAACCTTCGAAGACGTTTTTTTACTATATTTTGCAACTGCAAATGAGATGCCGAGAGGTTTGGAAAAATTTGGTAACAATTCATTTTTTCCGTTCAGATCTAACACGCACCTACTTCTGATAAAAATTATATCAACTAAATCAAGTCGTAGAAAGAAGTAAAAAATCTTATCAGTCAACAGGTATGATGTCAGATTTAAAGTCTCCTGTTGACCATTTTCTCGGTAGAAATGATGACGTTTAAAAATAGATTTATAGATAGCTAGGTATATTGTCATAGTAAACAGTGGAAATGCGATACACGAGAGACTATGACGCGCACGAAATTTTTTTATAATAAATCAATTTTTCAGCCATCTATTGCATTATGCATTCTTATTGTCGACTTTTAAGCGATGCCCTCGTACCCGCAACTTTTCCACGATGCTTCGAGGAGCAAAATGAAAAAATTGGGGAAAAAATATGTAAAATCCTTACCTCCAATCGACGTATACTGTGCACGTGCATTCTAGATATTCGCCGTTATCGATACCACCCGCGTAGAACTAAGGGTTCAAGTGGATTGCGTGAATCAATACTGCAAAATAAGTGCCTCTATCATCTGTAAATATAACGTAAATATTTGTATACATATTATGATTTTCTCGGAAATAAGCGACGCACGTTCAAAGTCATTTTCTGAATTTCAAAAATAATAACTACTAAGCGAGTCAATCGATAATTGTGCGTTTGAAAGATGAAATAAAAAAAAATGAAAAGTTTATGCTTAAGTTTATCTTAGTTTGTATGAAACTCGTAAAGTTCAATCCTCACGATTGCTTTCCTGCAAATTCGATTTTTATGGATAATGAATTTTTTAAACTCGAAAAAAGTTTTGCCATAAACTCATGATTGAATGCGTTGAAAATACTTATATCTAAACATGACATTTGAATTAATTTGAAAGAGAGAATATTGATAATTATTCATAAAGATAGATCGTATCGCTCACTAAATGATGAAAAAAATCACGGCAGTTCCGAAGATTCCGTCTTTTTTCAATGATCAGTACAATATCTTTTTCTCACATCTCTTATCAATTATCAGTAATCATCAACAACTGATCATGCGATCAGACTCGTTGGGCATAAAAGGCTTCGCTCGAGGCGATAAATCTTAGATGTAGTTTCAAACTTGAAGCAATCAAGACAGTCCGTGAAAGAGTTAACGTTTTTTTTCGATTGATGTACGTATCTTACAAGTAGCAAGTTATCAGTTCTGAAGAGCATACATAAAATTCGATAAATTGTGATGTGTAAATGTTTTCGAGTGTGTGCTGGATATACGAGCTGCATCTTTATGTGTTTAATAGTTCAATATTGATAAATTGTGTGTGTTTGTTACAGAATACGCGGCCTAGTGATGGCTAAGACGACGGTGTTAGTCTTCTTACTAGTGGCAGTTTTCTGCGTTACAAATTCAGCTGCTCAGACAGACGCAGTTCCATGCAGATATCCCGGACAGCTCGTGAGTTTTTAGAATTAAAGTGTAGAAATTATTCGATTCGATTCGACCACTCATGATCTCGTTTTTCAGTGCACAAATGATGCTCACTGCTGTGGTCCGTTTCGATGCAACCCATTAAAGAATCGTTGTACAGTACCTGATCCGCAAGGTTGGGCAAGAGCATTAAGTTGCTATCCTCCAGGATTCAGAGTGAGTACTAGTTGATTAAAATTTTTTTATGTAGGATTGAAAATTATTAGACATTTATTTTTTAGTGTTCGAACAACTCTCAATGTTGTGAGCCATTTATTTGCAATCCTTGGGCTAAGCGATGCACCAAGAGACCTTCGGATTATCCACCTGGTGGTGAAACATGTGTTCCGAAAGGAGCTATTGTAAGCAATGACACATTAAATAATTTTTTGAAAAAATAAGACTGTTTTCTAAAAGAATCATTGTAATAATTACAGTGCCGGAACAGCGAAGAATGTTGTTCGCCATACTATTGTAATCCCTGGGCAGGAAGGTGTACCGTGCGTAAGTACCCAACTACAACTCAAGCGCCAGAGAATTCTGGTGAGAGTGAAGAGAGCAATGAGAGCAATGAAAGTAATGAGAGTAATGAGAGCAATGAAAGTTCTGAAAATTCAAATGAAGTTTCAACTCAGAAGCCAACACCACCACAAGGAGTATGTAGACCACCTGGCTTTCGGGTAAGAATCTTCAAAATAATAGATTTAATAAAACATTAAAATATGTCATAGCTGAAAAAATGCTATGAATAAAAAAAAATTAAGAGTAACCAAAGTATGATTTTAATTTTTCAGTGTACCAAAAGTGACCAGTGCTGTGGTAATTTTATATGTAATATATGGGCTGGTAGGTGTACGAAACCTAATGGACCTCCACCAGAAGTGTGTAAACCTAGAGGATATTGGGTAAGATGAATCAATTTCTAATAGGTTGCAAAAAAAATGATGTACTAATTGAAAAATATCTATTTTAGTGCAAAAATACTGGAGAATGTTGTCCAGGACTTTATTGTAATCCATGGGCGGGTCGTTGTACAAAAGTGAGAGCTCCGACGACGGAAAAACCAACGACAGAATCTGGCAGTCAAAGTAGCGAATCGAGCAATGAATCCAGTTCAGGAGGATCCAGCGAAGAACACTCTTCTTCCAGTCAGGAGCATACAACTGAAGAAACTGGTAATGAAGTAACAACTCAAGGATCAGGCGAGTCCGGAGAAAGTCAAACTACTCAAGGATCCAACGAAGGATCGAATGAAGGTTCATCGGAATCTGGCGAAGGTCAAACCACTGAGGAATCTGGTGGTGAAGCAACAACCCAAGGATCCAGCGAAGAAGGCAATTCAGGTGAATCTGGGGAAGGCCAAACTACCGAAGCATCTAACGAAGGATCAAACGAAGGAGGTTCATCTGAATCTGGTGAAGGTCAGACTACCGAAGCATCGAACGAAGGATCAAACGAAGAAGGTTCATCGGAATCTGGTGAAGGTCAGACTACCGAAGCATCGAACGAAGAATCAAACGAAGAAGGTTCATCGGAATCTGGTGAAGGTCAAACTACCGAAGAAACTGGTGAAGGAACAACACAAGGATCCAGCGAAGAAGGCAATTCAGGTGAATCTGGGGAAGGCCAAACTACTGAAGCATCTAACGAAGGATCAAACGAAGGAGGTTCATCTGAATCTGGTGAAGGTCAGACTACCGAAACATCTAATGAAGGATCTAATGAAGGTTCATCGGAATCTGGAGAAGGTCAAACCACTGAGGAATCTGGCGGTGAAGCAACAACCCAGGGATCCAGCGAAGAAGGCAATTCAGGTGAATCTGGGGAAGGCCAAACTACCGAAGCATCTAACGAAGGATCAAACGAAGAAGGTTCATCTGAATCTGGTGAAGGTCAGACTACCGAAACATCTAATGAAGGATCTAATGAAGGTTCATCGGAATCTGGAGAAGGTCAAACCACTGAGGAATCTGGAGGCGAAGCAACAACCCAAGGATCCAGCGAAGAAGGCAATTCAAGTGAATCTGGGGAAGGCCAAACTACCGAAGCATCTAACGAAGGATCAAACGAAGGAGGTTCATCTGAATCTGGTGAAGGTCAGACTACCGAAACATCTAATGAAGGATCGAATGAAGGTTCATCGGAATCTGGTGAACAACAAACTACAGAAGAATCTACTAGCGAAACCACAACTCAAGGATCAAGCGAGGAAGGTAATACAGAAGAATCTGGTGAAGGGCAAACTACTGAGGAATCTGGTGAAGAAGTAACAACCCAGGGATCCAGTGAAGAAGGCAATTCAGCAGAATCTGGTGAAGGTCAGACAACCGAAGCCTCTAACGAAGGATCAAATGAAGGTTCATCGGAATCTGGTGAAGGTCAGACTACCGAAACATCTAATGAAGGGTCGAATGAAGGTTCATCGGAATCTAATGAGCAACAAACAACCGAAGAGTCTGGTAGCGAAACGACAACTCAAGGATCGAGCGAGGAAGGAAATTCAGGTGAATCCGGAGAAGGTCAAACTACTGAGGAAACTGGTGCTGAAACAACAACTCAAGGATCGAGTGAAGAAGGTAATTCTGGAGAATCAGGAGAAGGACAGGCTACTGAAGCCTCGAACGAAGGATCAAATGAAGGTTCATCGGAATCTGGTGAAGGTCAAACTACTGAAGAAACTGGTGGTGAAGCAACAACCCAAGGATCCAGCGAAGAAGGAAATTCAGGTGAATCCGGAGAAGGCCAAAGTACCGAAGGATCGAATGAAGAACAAAATACCACACCATCAAGTGGAGAAGAGTCTCATGAAGAAACTACAACAGGACCTTCTAGTGCTGAACAAACTACAGAAAATTCTAGTGTCGAACAAACCACGGAAGCCTCTAATGAAGAAACGACAGAAGTTTCAAATGAAGAAACCACGGAAGCTTCCAATGAAGTAACCACAGAAGCTTCCAGTGAAGAAACCACGGAAACTTCTAATGAAGAAACCTCAGAAGCTTCCAATGAAGTAACCACAGAAGCTTCCAGTGAAGAAACCACGGAAACTTCTAATGAAGAAACCTCAGAAGCTACCAATGAAGTAACCACAGAAGCTTCCAGTGAAGAAACCACGGAAGCTTCTAATGAACAAACTACTGAAGCAAGCAATGGCGAAGAAAGCAATGAGAATTCGACTGAGTCTTCTAGTGAACAACAGCCAACAGAATCCTCAAGTGGCGAACAAACTACAGAGGCCTCTAATGAGGAAGAAACTACCCAAGAAAACAGTGGTGAAGGCGGCAATGAGAACACTACGGAAGCTGCAAGTGCTGAACAGACAACTGAAGCTGTTAGTGAAGAACAAAATACAGAAGCTTCAAGTGGTGAGCAAACGACAGAAGAGCCAAATAGTGAACAAAGTCAAGAATCAACTTCGGAAAGTGAAGAGCAAAATACTTCTGAATCGGGCCAAGAATCAAACCAAGAACAAAGCAGCGAAGAAACATCTATTGAACTAACTACTGAAGCTGGAAGTGCAGAGGAAACTACCGAGGGTTCTAATGAATTAGAAACCACTCAAGACCCAGTCAGCGAAGAGCAGACCACCGAGAGTGTTGAAAATAATATCGATCCCGAAGAAAATTGATGTGAGGAGGAGTATGATTAGAAATAATTTAGTAGAATTTAAACAAATTCAATTTATCATGTACATATTATTTAGCTATTCATATTAATGGTTCGTGTATTATACACGCTTATAATTATTAAATAAGAAATTTGCGTCATGCAGAAAAAATGTTATTACTTTTAACTGATCTTCAGGTTTCATAGTATAAAAAATCTGTGAAACGTTACTCGACAGATTAAATTGGTATTAATCTCGAGAAAGTTTAATTTATTATTGTAAAGTATAATTTTTTTTTACTTTAATAACTTGAAGTATGTATTTATGCAATTTTAAATTGTAGGAAAAACATCAAAAAAACATAAAAAAAAGATCGCAACATATATCGGTGACTTTTATTTTACGATTGCCTAGATTGATTATGAACCCGTACTTAAAATGCTCTACGGTATATCGCATTTCTTGCATTACAAAGCTTCAATCCTTTAAAGTTCGGCTACCCTTATAATAAGATCAAGGTCAAATGGCGGCAGCAGTGGCGACTGCCGCTATGCAGTGCAGTGTGCCGGACTAGCAGTGCGAGTGGGGGTCAACGGTCGCGAGGTGGCGCGTGGTCCATTCCACGTATGTATAGGTATAGGCACGAGCATGTGTGCATCGAGTTTCCCGGCTCAGCAAGCTCTACCGCCACCCACACATATAATATCGGCTCGTATTTTCTCGTCGGAGGTCGTGTCCTTCCGCCGAACACTGCGACGGGAAGCTCGAGGATTTGAACGTTTTCTCGTGCTTCGTGAAAAGTCTAGGTTGACTTTTTTTTAAACAACCGTTTATTATCGAGTTTATTATTATTAACCGTTTGTTATCAATACGTTAAAATCAACAATCTTACGATATGTTTTGTTTTTTGCTCCATTTGAATAGAAAAAAAGGTTCGTTGATATAAGTGTAACATAGAGAAAGAGAAACAGCTGTGAAATATCCGTACATTTCTATATATAATACGCACATATGTCCCCCTAGAGGACGAAAAATCGAATACCGGATCGGTGGCGCAGGGCGGGCAGCTGCTCTCTCGTGTGCAGGTATAGTACGGACGGCTGCATCCTCTCCTCCGTGCGCGATCTTTTTTGCGCACTGGCACGGAGTAGCACACGCACACACTCTCACACATACATACTTCAGCCCGGCTCAACATCCACTACTACTACTAGTACTACTACTGTAAGAAAAGCGAGTTCTATATATATAATACTCCACACCCCGTATCTGCCGCTGCTGCTGCTGCTGCTGCTGCTGTTGGCGGTGCTGCAGCATCCCGTGCCGCACACAACACACGGTATCTGCCCGGCAGCTCTCGCCGTTATATCTATGCACATTGCACATTTTGACAGAACGGAGTCGGCGCTTGCGAGAGCAACAGCTCTTAACGCTCGATTCGCCCTGTCCACGTTGATGCTGTCGTCGAATTTTGATTTTTCAGAAAAAGTCGTTACGTATCAAAGTTAATCGAGCGCGCGTATACGCCAGTGTAACGTTTAAAAGTTCGAATCTTGAGTGTTAAAAACGCGAGAAAAATCGTGACCGTGCGTGCCTGTGTGAGGATAAAGACACGTGCGACGAGTCCTGAAGCTACGCAGCTGCGTGATATGATTAGCTGCAAAAGGCATAAAAAAGTTCATCGATGTTACTAACTTGAATGCGTATATGTGTGCGTATGTGTGCGCTGCCGGGTCGAGTTGATCGATCGAACTCGCGTGTGTAGCAATTTCGATAACATTTCGGTAGATAGCAGCTAAAGCCGAAGCCCAGGTCGTCGAGCCACCCCTTTTGGACTGCGAATCCCGCACACGTTATATACTCGCTCGCACATACACACGCGTGAAGCCTCACTCGTACACATAACGCACGACGTAGCCCAACATGTTCGGCGAGTGATAGATATACCTGCTATAACGTTCAACTTCGAACATTGCTCTTTCTGCGTCTCTGCTACTCTGCGCCGCGGCTGGCAGAAGTGCCTGCCGCGAAGCCTCGGAGCAAAACAAACTCGCCGAGGAGGAGAAGAAGAGAGTGCGGGAGGCCGCGGGGGGAGTCGGGCGAGAGTATCTGCGCCGTGCACTTGTGCCTCTATAACCTCCATAAACGCGGCGCACGGCTGCTGCTGCTGCTGCTGTTGCGGCGTTTCTGTGTCACCCCGGCGTGTGCGAATGTCCTTTTGCTCTCTCTGACGCAAATATAGAGTTTATATGCGTGTGTTGTATATACCTTATCATACGCACGAGTGTTCGAAGTAGTTCGTTTGCTTGAAGAAAGAGACGCAGCGGCGGCACTTTGTCGAGGCGCGAGTTCGAAACTTTACCGAGCCAATATATATCATAATCCAAGCTGCTGCTGTGTATCGGGGAGGATAAACGGAAAATCAGTGAAGTGCTTGTGCGATTCTTTATTTTGTCGAGATAACATTTGGTATAATCAAGAGTGTTGGTGCAGTTCTATGAGTTTGATGTTCCATTTTCTATCTTTGAAATGAGCTGTTCGACCGGCCTCGGGATGCATCACTTACTGGAGCTGATCTTCGTTCTCGGCGCCGTGACAATCGTCTCAGCAGCGAAAGGTAACGTACTTTAGCTATGAAATTTTTGTGTGACGTTTTATTCGTACTCGAGTGTTTTTTAACGTATTTTCGAAAGAGTCTGTACCACAATGATAGACATTGTCTAAACGTTATAAATTTGAGTATAACAAAATGGCGGCAATCGTTATATCGTAATATTCGATTCATGTAAGCAACTTTTTTTTGAAATTCAACCGTTTTGTAACGTTCTTTAATGACGAATATGAACGCGTAACCTAACGATATTTCACCCCGAGTATTATACGTCGATGTATTATGCAATTTATAACGTTACATGAATAATTTACAGCAAGATTTCAAATCATTTTTTTGAAATCGAGCGTTACAACGTTTTTTCCGCTTTACCAAGACTCGGATGATCTTTAACCCCTTCTCGCTGCTGTACTAGTTTACGCGCAGTATACAGTCCATTAATGACGATGATGTCGAGTAAAAGAAAAAAAAAGAAAGAGGCGAGCTTTGAAAATGCACCCGGTCTTAGATAGTATACTCCCGCGTTTACGATCATTAACTGCGCGCGTTTAACGACGTGGTTACACTACGGCGTGCTGTATACGTGTGCGGGTGTATATATAACTGCAAAGCCTACCGGTGAGGATTTATTTCCTTTTTGTTCTTTCACGCGCGAGCTATACATATACATATAACATGGAGCATATATATGTACTCCGGGTCTTTGTTACACTTTACTGATGAGCGCCAGGGTGTATATTGTATATATGCTATGCACATTTACGTGTACACTCGAGTAAAGTATATATATGTGCGTACATCTCGTTATAATTTAAACGAGCAAGCTGTGCATTTAGCTTTATACATATTTCGCAGATTTTTTTACACCCTCTCTCCCTTACATAAGCGTTAAAATTTAATGTTTCATAATGAAGTAAGTACTACGTCAACCGTGCGTCTGTCGAATTAGGGTGATTCGCGAGCGGGGACAAGTCACTTTTGTAAATTGCATATGTAACGATCATTTGTGAGCGCATATTATTCCTGAATCCTCGTCAACTAAACTTCAAAGCATAAACGAAAAATCGAACGTATTTTTTTTCTATACACGCCTTGTATAAATTCATGAAAATATCCTCTTCACACGCACGCGATGCTTTGAAAAATTCGTGCGATGGCGAAATCTTTAAATTATACAAGTCGCGTCAAGCTGATCCCTGCGAAAAAGCATTTATTACTCGATTGAAAAAAACATGGTCCGATACGTCAAAGTTATGAGTACCTATAATATACACGTGGCGTTTCAGTCGACGTCTTACGCGTAAGCGATATATCTGATACATTGGATAATTTAGTGCGCATCTTACCATGGAACTTCTCTATCTCTCACTCCTTTTGCAATTGACTAATACGTCGAAAGTTTTGGCGTTATAAACACACACGAACGCGCGTGAGCAACCACACACACACATGCATACACACATACGAGTGCACAGGCGGAACGAAGAAGCTTACGATGCACCTGGCGAAGTAACTTCCAATCCGTAAGTGGATTGAACGAGCTCCACTCGAACATCGCCCCAACATTAAAGTCGAGAAGACGACTGCCACCGCGCTGGCCCCGCTTTTATTGCTACGACGATGTTTGTTCGCAATGCGAATCTCATCGATAATTGATAAATTATCTCGCGCGCGCGCTCGAGTGAAGCACATTAATTTACATATTACGAATCGACGGTTTGATACGTTCTCGAGTTCTTTTACTTAACGATCTTACACGTGCTTACGTCTCAATTTCAATTACTACAATGGAACTTTTTTTTTTTCTTCTCTTAATTTCTTCGTCGTTTCTCATCTGCCCCTCGAAACTCAATTATATCCGTGATTACTATTTTATCAACGCGGCTTAACGACTCTCGATAAATTGTCTTATGTACATGGACGCGTCGAATTTGACACCGCTGGTAATTGCATGCAGCAGCAGCGGCGTTCGTGTGTGTTTGTGTATATAGTGCACAGGCCTATAGCTCGTTTACCCCAAAAGGACCGTAACAGCTCAAGCCTCCAGTGACGATAAAGAGAACGAAGTTGTGCATGCGCCAGTGTGTTGGTGGTGGTGCGAGGTGGGGCACACGAGAGATGCAGTCAGCCATGGGCATGCCGCCTGCCGATGCTGCTGCTGCTTCTGTACATGTATGCGTGTGCATGCCCTAATTATGCCGATAATCGATAATCGATTATTGCAGCATAACATTTTGTTTATGTAGTGTGCGAGTATATACGTAAAGCAGCACGGCACATAACACATACACGTGCTTTGTAAAGTTTACCGTCCACTTGCTGTAGTAGTTTCCTGTTGAACCCTTATATTATAATATCAAACTCAAATCTATGAAATAAATCAGCAAAGTCTTTGGTGGCTTCGATGTCAGTTTGCTTGCTTGCGATATGCCGCTGCTGCTTTGCTCGAACAATTATATTACGCCCATACTCGATGAGGGCTCAACGTGATGTCTTCGTGAAAATTTTAAGTCTGTCCGTTTTAATCAACGCTCGAGAGAGATAATTGGCCTTGAAGAAAAATATTAGCGAAACTCGGGCGAAAAGCGCGTGGTAATAGGATCAACGTTCATTTTTCCCTCGAGTGTTCGGGGGCCGGAGCGACCAAACCAAAAAAAA